ATCTCATTATTTTCATTTCTTATCCCTATTCCAAACCTAACTGGCTTCCAGTTTTCACTATTTCCATAGAAGATACCGCCATTATTTCAGTCTCCTGGGTTTATAACCTTGATGTTATCTTAATTCCTTATATTTCCTCACCTCACATATGCAATCAGTTGCCAAATCTCGCCACTTCTACCTCCACATCTCTTAAATCCAGTTGCTTCTCTCTACTCACCAACTGCTACCACCACCGAAGTTTAGATCCTCATCATCTCTTACCTAATAAAGTATTGCAATAGTTTCCTAATTGGTTTCCCTATCCTAGGTCTCTGACCACTTCAGTTCAACTTTCTCACTGCTGTTCAAGTGATTTTCCTTAAGCTCAAATCTGACCATGCCACTCCTCTGATCAATCAGCTCCCTAGTGTCTCTTAGATAAAATACAAACTCCTCTGTTTCGCTTTTAGAGTTCTTCACAACCTTCACTCAATCTATCTTTCTAGCTATATTGTACATCAATCCCCCTTCCCACATTCTGCAATCCAGTCAACTTTGTCTTCTCTCCATTCATTACCTACACCACTCTATCTCCCATCTTTGCACTAATCATCTCCCATGCTGGAAATACACTGTCCTTGACTCTAGTTAATAGAATCTTCTCTTTCTTAAAAACACACCTCTACTACTGCCTGAAATCTTTCCTTATTCCCTCAACTTCTAGTGCCCTCCTTTCCAAACTGTCTTGTGTTGAACTACTTTATATTTATTCACTTTATATTCAAACTTGTGATTGTTATCTCTCCAGAGACAATATAGACTTATGAGTAGGGATTGCTTTATTCTATATATTTTTATCTTATCACCTAGCACAGTGTCCTACATATATTAGTTGCATAATAAATAGTTGCTGGTTGATTGACTGATTGCTTCTTTCCTCTTTCCCTACTTGCTAAGTCAGGGCTGGGAGTCTAGGTTGAAGGGTACTGAGTGGTATGGTCTTCACTGTGACCCTAAGGTACAATTAATCCCAGGATAGACTCTAAGGATATATTGATGCTTGCAAATTCGAATTCTTCTCTATTTGAGCAGTTTCAGAGGGTCTGAGAGGTATTTTCCCCCTTCCAAGTCTCAATCCTTCACTCTGTCATGCCTGAGCTTCATTTGAGCATAATAATTGGTTTCTGGGTACCTCTGGTACCTTGTCAATTACAAAACACAATTATGTATTTGATGGAAATTTTCACTCATCTTCCCAAATCTCTAAACTTAGACCTTAATCCCAGGAGCCATTCATAACACAGATGGCAGTAACTGTTTTTCATTTGGGAAATGTACATTCCTTCCTCCTCTTCATAATCTAAAAAAAAAAACCCATACTTTTCATATTTTTGTCTATGTCTTTTTCATTAATATACTCTTTTCTAAAGCAATAGCCATACTTTTTTGAGGAGGCAGTGTAATCTGCTTAAAATAATATGTAACAGAAGGGAAAACAGACATCCTTTGGGGAAAATGTATATAAGTTAGAGTTTTCATGTAGAAAAGAAGACATTGACAAATACATAATGGGCAGCTATTCTTTATATGTCCTTTAGTTATTTTCTTTCTGCTTTCTCTCATGTGTTGGGCCTCTGACACCAGCAATTTCCTGATGACTTCCATTTACATTTAGAAAGGTGAGCTAGTACAGGTAAGTTTCTAATTGCATTTTATAAGAGATTTGTAAAAGCAAACCAAACATATACACTTTACTTTAATTTATGACATACCTGTTATTATGGTCACCTAGAAAAAAAAATTTGTAGTCTATCAACATTTTTGAAAAAAAGGATAGAGATATTTTGGAGGCAATTTTAATTCTTAGAATAACAAAAGCATTTTATCTTCAAATCAGAAGAGAGAAAAATATTCTTTTAGTCCCAGAACATTTTTTTTAATTCCATGAAATTTCTGCTCATGTTTTGAGTTTTTTAATAACTCAGTGAATTAGTTCATCAAAGATTATATACCAACTCATCACCTCCCCAAATTAAATTGAAGCACATCCATTTTAGACAAATGTTAAACAGACTGAAAAACAATAATATACAAATCACCAATAAACTCTGAATGTGATTTCTTGTGAGTGCCATCTATAAAAACAAACAGAGTTATTTCAAAATGGAATGGGTTGACTCAACAGGTAGGACTTTTTTTTATTATTATTACAAAATCTTCAAGCAACAGCTGGATGATTACTTTTTAGTGGTATTCTCAAGGTCAGTTAGTCAATAAACCTTTATTAAATACCCAATAAGTGTGAGAAACTGTGCTAATCACATGGAATACAAAGAAAGACAAAAGACAAACAATCCATGCTCCCAAGGAGTTCTAATGGGGGCAATAACATGTCAACTAGCTATATACCAGGTAAGTTGAAGATAATCAACAGAGGGAAGGCCTTAGAATTAAGGGGTATTGAGAAAGATTTTCTGTAGAAGGAAGGCTTGTAGTTGGGACTTGAAGAAACCTGGGTTGACAGAAAATAGACATGAGGAGGAAAAACATTCCCAGGCTTGGGGTCAGCCAGTTAAAATTCTCAGAGTCAGGAGATAGAGCAGATAGAGCCCCCTGTTCAAAGAACATCAAGGACACCCGTCTTACCAGACAGGGATTGGGGTTGTGATGGGTGGGAGACAAAGTATAAGAAGACTAGAAAGGTAGAAGGGAGTGAGGCTGGGAGACATTCAAATGCTAAACAGAAGGTGATAGGAAGATATTGGAGTTTAACTAGTGGGGGTGGAAAGGGGGTATGACAGGTCTGAACCTGAGCTTTAGGAAGATAACTTTGGCAGCTAAGTGGAGGATGGACTGCAGTAGGCAGATACCAGAAGGCTATTGCAATAATCAAGTTGTGAGCTGAGGAGAGTATAGACCAGGATGATGGCAGTATTAAGGAGAAAAGGGGGAAAATATGAGAAATGTTATGAAAGGAAAAGCAACAGACCTTGGTAGCATATTGGATATGGGATGGGAGAGATAGAGGAGTCAATAATGACATCTAGGATATGAACTTTGATCACTAGGAGGATGGTGGTGCCTTCAACAGTGAGAAGGAAGTTAGGAATAGGAGAAGGTTTGGGAAAAATAATTAATTCAGATTTGAACATGCTGAGTTTAAGATGTCTACGTGACACTTAGTTCCAGAAGTCCAACAGGCAGAGATGCAAGATGAGAAGTCAGGAGAAAAGTCAAGGCTAGATCAGTAGATCTGAGAGTCATCAGCACAGAGATAATAATTGAATAGATGTGACTTGATGAAGTTACCAAGTGAAATAGTATAGAGGGAGAAAACAAGAGGATAGAGGACAGAGTCTTGAGGGACACTCATGGTTCGTGGGTATGACCTGGATGAAGATCCTGCAATAGAGACTAAGGAGAGGTCACACAGGTAAGATGGGGAACAAGACAGAGTGGTCTCATGAAAACCAAGAAAGAAGAGAGTGTAGAGAATAATATGATCAACAATGACAAAGGTTATATAGAGGTCAAAAAGAATGAGGACTAAGAAAAGGCCATTAGATGTGGCAATTAAGAGAACATTAGCAATTCTGGAGAGAGCAGTTTCAGTTGAATGATGTTGGAAGCCAGACTAAATAAGAAGAGAGTAGGAGAAGAAAATTAAGGTAATTATTGTAGATGACCTTTTCAATGGTTTAGTCAAAAAAAGGGAGGAGAAATATAGAATAATGACCAGAAGGGATGGATGGATTGAGTTATGTTTTTTTGAGGACATGGAAGGGAAGCAGCCAGTAGACAAGGAGAGATTGAAGATAAATAAGGGAGGATGATAGAGGATGTAATTTGCTAGAGAAGAGATGAAATGGGATCACTTATCCAAGTAAAAGGGTTTGCCTTGGCAAGATGGGTCACCTTTTCATGTGAGACAAGGGTGAAGGAAGAGAGTATCAGGGGGCATCTGAGAAATGTGAATTGAGGAGGCGGATATAGAAGAAACTCTTGCAGTCTCAATTATTTTTTCAGTGACACATGAAGCCATTCATTCTTCAGATAGGGACTGGACTAAACGATCTCTGAAGTTCTTTCCAAGGCTGCCATTTTATATCTCTATAATAAGAGCGAAATGTACCATGGTGTACTGATAGATAGCCTCTTTTAGGTCTTGAAGGTAGTATGACTTTTTAAGTACAAAATACAGATAGCAAGGATAAGATCAGACCACCTACCTTATTAAAGGGGATAGATTTCATTTTTAATTGGTCTTGACTGTTCCTGATGATGCTGTCCTATAATTCTCCATGGATAATAAAGGTTATGGAACTACAGAGACTAAATGCAGGTCATAGAATAATCCCAAAAATTACATGTATATATACAGAAGTTTATGAGGAGGCTGCTTTATTTTGAATTTATCTCAAAATGAACATTCTTGATGAGCTTTAAGAAGTTATATTTCCAATATCTAGAATAAAAAAATCCTACTGCCTTCTAATATTGTAATTCCCATAAAAAGTACATGTTCTAATGATTTGATTTTCAGAGATTTTTTTTATTACTATAAGCAAAAAAAGTAACACTCATAATAGATTCATTCAACTACACATACCTTCTATTCATTTGCAAACATAAAAAACATTTTGATAGGATTTTAATGTTGTTATTCAGTATATACAGAGAAATTATGGCATCCTATTTTCACAGTTACATAAAGTTATTTAAAAAATAATTGGGATGAATTATTGAACATAGATATTGATGAGTTGCTTTTAGATTTTTGTAAAATAGTCATCCTTTTTGTTTGATTAGTAACTGTGAAAATATTTGGTCTTTGAATATAATAACCTATATGTAAGAATACAGTTAATAGTTAATTTAAATAATTTAAATGTTCTAGGTTGAAGGAGGAAATGAGGGCTGGAATAACACAATGCTTTTTTTCATTTGAAACACTGTAAACATCTTTGGAAAATAAATATGGAACAGCAGACAAAGAAGAAAAGGTTCTTCAAACTTACTTTCACTAGTTGAATAGTCCTGGGGATCAAGTATTCCTGATTCTTGAAGCGATCTTATACAGGAGTCTACCAGTTCAAGACCAGTTGTGAGTTCATCCTCTATATCCTTCTGACCATCTATTTAAAATAAATACAAAAAATTAGCCCATAATCAATAATATATTTTCATTTTTTTTCATTATTTGATAGTTAAAAGTAGCCTGATGAAATATTTTTACCTCAGTAATTTCTCAGATCACTATCACACTCTATTCTCTCTCTCTCTTTTTTTTTCTTTTTTTAGGTCAGGAACAATTAAGACCATTTCTCTTGGGGGTTCTAAAATTAGTCAAGAAATTGACAAGAACTTAACCAAATCCTTTCCAATCATACTTATCTAAATAAAGCTTTTCGTAAAGAATTAAAAAGTTTAATTTCAGGCTATTGCCTTGCTCATTTTATTTCTTTATATCTTTTATTTCATAAGTACAATGAAATTAATTTTGATTCATATGGAACTTTAAATTCCCATCACAATTCTATACTTTACCTTGTGTTTGCCAATGAAACTGTTCTTCTGTTGAACTGCAAAAAAGAGAATAAATATGTATAACATGTTGATTTTTAAAATAAATCTATATTATAACATTTTCCCCCTATATTATCTCTGAAAATAGACTGATTTATTTGGCATTCAAATTAATGTACATTTAGATTATATTCATCATAAATATCAAGTATTAATGTGCCAGTTTTCATGAATGAAAAGGCTACTATTAAAGCCATTTCCATAAAAGGCCATGGCAAGGCAAATTATTCTCACCACTGATATGAATATTTTGGGTGACAACAAATACATAATTCCAGTTTCATTATATTAGGAGTCTGCCACTATTTCAAATGTTTTAAAAGGCAAGTTGGAATTTTGGCATAGACTTTGCAAAGAATGCAACATGTAGAATATATATAACATTTTTTGGTAGTTTGCCTATTTCAGTATAAAGCAAGGATTCTTAACCTGCAGTACAGAACATGTAGTCATTTTCATTTTAATATTTTTATGGCACTATTTCAATATGAATGATCTTCCTTGTAATCCTGTGTATTTTATTGTATACATCAAAAAGCATTATTCTGAGAAGTCCATCCATAGGCTTCTTAAGACTGCAAAAAGGATCCAAAACATAAAGAAGTTTGAGAACCCTCTGGATAAAATAAAGAGAAATAAAATACATTCACTGTCTCTCTTTAAGCAGTTTACACAGTGCCCTCACACTTAGAAATTGGGATTAACTTTTTATAGAACAATATTACTGATAGAAGCTGAAACTAAAACAATTACAAACATTCTGATATGTGTGTGTGAAATACATATAAGTACTTAGCATTTTTTCACATCATTTTTAGCACTCAAAAAATTTCAGACTTAATTACCAATTGGTTTCAATGGGTTGGTTCAGAAACACTTTGAAGGAGATGTATCTCCTAATATGTATCTCATATTCATTTATATTAATTACTTGTCCCTAAATACAAATGTATGGGCTTGCCTCTATTTTTGTCTTATGTTTTATGAGCTATATCTGACTGTTGGTATTTTACAACATAAAAAGCATCACATATATCACATGAAGTTCAGATTTTTTTTGAAGAGCTGAAATGTATTTGTATATAAAATGCAAATACATTCATAAAATACTATTGGATTTTTAGTGGTAAGATAAGAATTAGTTCAAAACCAAGAAGAAAAATATATAGTTTATAATCTAGACAACTTAACTCTAAACAATCCAAACAAGTAATTGACAATCAAAAAATGGCACAAGGATAAAAGAAATGACATTAGCAGTGATATAATTATTTTAACCAGAAGTCTTATCATGTTAGTTAATTTCAACAAGGATACCAAAAGAAAGGACCCTGAAGGACCCTGAATAAGCAAACACCTGAATTAGTTTCCAAATGAAGAGAGAAGCAATATTGAGTTAGTACTCTTATGAATAATGATTTCTGAAATGACAATTAGTATTTTCTAATAAGGCAGAGATAAACAGTGGAGGGTAAAGTCACTACAAAGAAAGCTTGGTAAGACTTTGAAGTAAAGAAGTCTCAGGGATATTTAAGGATGAAATTGAAGGAAAATAGCAAAGAGAAAAAAAAAAGATTTGTAAAAAGCATTACAATGAACTGGTTTCTCCATCCACGATATCAGAAACTCTATAGTTGGTCCTTAATGCCACAATCCTACATTTGCTTCTAGGAGAGGTAGAAGTAGCCTAGAGAATACAAGTGTGGGAAGAAGAACTCAATTGAACTAAGTGTTCAAAGAAGAGTTCTGTGCTGGAGGCAACAATTATAAGGGGATTTGGGGACCAAGAAACAAAACATAGGAAGGAAGGGAAGATACCAAAGACTTGGAAAACATCTCAGACCCTATTAATACTAAAAAATTAGGGTCTAGTAAAACATAAATAATTGCTCACTTATATGTCTACTTTTTCATTTATACAAAATCTTTATCCAGGAACCAAGGGAATCTTCCAAGAGGGTATTGGTAGGGAACAATCAGACTTTTACAGGCAATAGTCAAAATGAACTTCATCATCAGTATTTTTAAATTAACTGAAAGGTACAGAAAACAGAAAATCCCAATTTTGTTTTGTAAGTCTAAAAAAAATATTGAAAAGGTAGGACAAAGTGCTGCCTTGCAGACTTTTTTTCAACAAGGTGTTCCTCATCAATCCATCAAAATCACTTAAGATTCCTTGAAAGATATAATAGTACAAATACCCTCTTTAATGACTGTCCTATAAATATGAGTTGAGGCAAAAAGCCGAGCATATGTTTACTGAAGGTGTTAACTGCTATGATGGAAGACAATCAGCACAGAATTCAAGTTGAAGAGGAATTTTCCTTGAACTATGAGGTCTTCCAAATGATTTCATTTATATATGACATTGTGTTGACTTCCTTAAGCCCTAGAATATTGCAAAGCCTCTTGGAAAAATTTTGCCATCAATTGGAATTTGATCTGATATTCACATATAAAAAACCAAATGGACAAATAATTTCTATAGCACAGATTGGAACATACGTTTGGCTGAACAACCTACACATTTCAGTATGTCCACGACTATCTGAGGTGTAAAGATAGAAAATTATTTGGGCCTAGAGAAGAACAGGAAAAAAGCAGTCCAGATTACCTTCAAGAGATGACAGAACTTCTTTAATGACTCCAAGCTTCCCACAAAATCAAATGCTAATCTTTTCTAATCCCTATATCCTGTCAATACTGATGTATGATAGCAAGCGAGAAAATACAATGGTCAACAAAAAAATAAAAATTAATATTATAAAGAGTACAAGGAAGAGGCAAATGGTGGGTGTGAGTGTACTTAAAAATATAACCAATGAGAAACTCTCAGAAAGAACAGGAGTAAAAAATATCATTTAGGAATTGCATGGTAAGAGAGAAAATGAGTGGCCATGTGTCAAGGGATGACAAATGGACATCCAGAGTACCCTCATGGCAACTTCTCGATGTCAGGAGAAATCAAGGAAGTCTTCTAGGGAACACCTTATGGAAAACTTTTTGAAAGTCATGGATAAGTGTCACATAAAATGGTCAGATAATGATTGGATGAAAACTGCATTGTTCCAAAGAACTCCCAAATCAATTAGATCACAGAACCATTTGTGTATTTGAGCATGTAATATTGTATGTATACTGCAAGAATATGTAGAGATAAATTTTCTATCTATATTTATTACAATTATATATGTATATAAGAATTATGTATATATATATATATATACACATCTATGTAAGCATAACCCACAAGTATACATGTATATAAAAAGAATTACATAGACACTGCTCCATGAACATGGGTTTTAAGTGAAAATTCCATCTTTATAAGGCAAATGTATAGCTCTTTACAATAATTTAGTAATTATGTTTTGGTATATAATGGACAGTAAGGCAGCTAGATGGCTCAGTGGATAGAGTTGGGCCTGGGGTTAGAAAGACCTGAGTTCAAATCTGGCCTCAAACTCAGACATTGCCTGTGTGACTCTGGGCAAGCCACTTACCCTCTGTTTCCCTTAATCCACTGGATAAGGAAATGGCAAACTTCTCCATTATCTTTGCCAAGAAAACCCCATACAGGGTCATGAAGAGTTGGACCTTACTGAAGAACAGTAATGAAACTGATAAACTTTTTAATATAATACATACCATTTTAGGAAATACAATATGTTTTCCACTATAATTCTTTAGATAAGTCTCAGTTTCATAATGTCCATTTAGTCTTTTCTGTGTGAATGTCAGTAACAATACTTGCATATTTACAGATATATAGACATCTATCTGTAATTATATCTCTATGTAGCATCCCTACAGAAGGAAAGAGAGAGTTATGCCCAGGTAGCAAGTTATGCCTTCATCTGAATAACACGTTGAGGGAATATTCAGTCTAGATGAATTATGATTTCAACAGATTTATTTTGAACGACCTGTTAAATATATGGTGAATGTTACAGTGAGCAATGACTGCAGACAAAATCCCTTTGTACACATTATCTGTGCACATAATACCTATATTTCCCTTCAGAATGTCAGTAACTGATGAGTGACCTTGATATCAGGCAGCGATAGACATTATTTTGATAATGATCATATCTTTACAGGTATTTTACTAGATCTGTTGCTCTGTTCAAGGAACTGCTGTGAATAACTCATTGGTTTCACAAGAGCAAAAGGCTTGGACATTTTTAATCTTCTTTTTGGTAGGAGACCCTGAATAAATGTATGAAATGAACTAGATCCATGTCTTTAAATCTGTGTCCAGGGAACAAATGGTTGATGTAAATGAATATAACAACTCTGTTTTGGGAGACATTTCTCCTTTCCAGTGTATTTCCTGCTGGACTGATCTATTAGCAGCAAATTGCGAACTGAGCTTGAAATTTTCTGAGTGACAAATGACAGTAGTACAAGACATAATGATAATCATGAAATTCTAACTAATAAAACTCTTACTTAGTTTTAACAAATACAACTTAATGGAACACATTACATATTTACCTTCAAAATCCAAAGGTTAGAATTGAAAACTAATTTAAATAGTATACCCAAAAGGACCCATATATACAAAAATAATTTATAGCAACTCTTTTTGTGGTAGCAAAGAATTGGAAATTGAGGGGATGCCCATCTATTGTGAAATGACTGAACAAGCTGTGGTATACAAATGTAGTGGAATACTATTGTGCTATAAGAAATGGATGAGTAGGCAGAATTCAAAAATACTTGGAAAGATTTACATGAACTGATGCAGAGTGAAATGAACAGAATGTTGTACACAGTGACAGCCACATCATGGGATGACTGACTTTGATAGACTTGAATCTTCACAGTAATGCAAAAATCTAAGACAACTAAAAAATATTCATGATGAAAATTGTTACCCACACCCAAAGAAAGAAATATGGATTCTGAATGCAGATGGAAGCATACTATTTGCTCTCCTTTTCCTTTGTTGTTTTGTTTTATTGCTTCATTCTCGTGGTTCCTCCCATTAGTT